TGGAGGAAAAAGAGTGAGAAGGATGACGAAGGAGATAGAGATAACGGGAGAGAAGAACAACATGAACTTTAGAAGAGACAAAAGGTGAAACAAAGAAGCTGCGGTAATATGTGCAGAAATATACACCACAACACAATACTTAATCCTAACCTAACCTAAGGCAGAGTGAGGTCAGGTAAACGTGTTGTTGTCAGCGGCTGAACAACGCCCGCCATCATTACCTTCAGTTTTTCACCTGTTTTAATTATGTGTGTGTGTGTGTGTGTTCCCTCGATTCTCCGTCTCTCACTTCCTTCCTTCCTTCCTGTCTTTCTCCTCACTAATTAGTCTCCACCCCCTCCTTCCTCCAACTTCCTCCCTCCCAACCCCTCCACCTCCACCCACCTTCCCTCCTCCATCCCTCCCCTTCCCTCCCAACCCCTCCCCTTCCCTCCCATTCCCTCCCCTTCACCTTCCTCCTCCTCTCCCCAGTCTACCCTTCACCCATCTCGTCCCCCTCCCCTTCCGCCCTATAATCTTCAGGGTCATGGAAGCCCTGGGGCCTATTAGGACTGGCACACCAAGCAACAACTTTAAGACGATTACACGTTATTTAGCAACACTACAACAATTTAAAAGCTAAATACAACTCTATAAAAAAAAATACAATCATGAATCCCAAATACAATACCAAATTTAAACGCCATTACACAATTTTAAGCAGAATACCCCCAAAAGTTTCCACCTGTCGACACCTCCCTGCCCTTGAACGCTACACCAGTTAACAAGAAAACATATATTCCTCCTTAATTCTTTAATCCTCAGTGAAGGAACAACACTCTTTACACGAGTTACTCCTTCATAACACCGGTCCTTGTTTCTCCTTGTCTGCCTCTCTCCCTATGTTCCTTCAGCTCTTTTCTTCTGTTCTTCTCTTCTACTGTTCTGTTCTCCTCTTCTTCTGTTCTCCTGTTCTTCTTCAACCTTCTCCATGCTGTTTTTGTACGAGTTACTCCTCTTATTAGGTTTATCGTTTTCTTTAATCTTTAACCTTATTCAATTTTCTTTCGTTCTTCTTTAATATTTTTATTATTATTATTGTTTTCTTGTAATTTTTTTTGTCATATTTTCAAATTTCTTTCAATAACAAATATTTTTGTTCATTTATTTTTAGATGTAATAATAATAATAATAATAATAAAATAATAATAATAATAATAAACGGTTTATTGAAAGATCATGGCAGCCGGAAGGTTGAAAATATACAGTTACATAATTAGTGAATGGTTCTCTTGTTTGACCAATAATATACAAGTAACATAAGTGATACAAATATGATATATAATAACTAGGTGGGAGAGGTCATACTACAGGGCATTTCAACAGTGACAGTGCATAAAGGTGAGATTGACTAGGAGTGAATACACTGGTTGATTACGTGTGTGTGTGTGGGAGAAATTTGACAGGTGTGTGTGGGGGAATTTGACAGGTGTGTGTGGGGGAATTGGACAGGTGTGTGTTTGTGAGGGGAGTTTGACAGGTGTGTGGGGGAACTAGGGGGTAAATATGACAGATGTGTAAGACATACACCTGCAAGATTAGAAGAAAGGCAGCTGTCAGCCTCTCACAGTGACAGGTGTGGAGAGAGAGAGAGAGTCAACAAGTAGGGGAATAGAGTTGACGTCCGGTGTAAACTCCTCCTCTCCTCTCCTCCTGTTCCTCTTGCCCTTCTCCTCTTTTCCTCCCTCTCTTCCCACTTCTCTTCTTCCTCCTGTTCCTCTTGCCCCTTCTCCTTTTTCTCCTCCTCTTCCTCCCCCTCCTACTCTTGTCCTTCTCTTCCTCCTCCTCCTCCTATAACCCCCCTAAGCCCCCCACCTCTTCCATCTTCCCGTCTTGTCAATTAGCTCACTCTCTCTCGCCTTCCCATTCTCCAATCCCCTTCCCTTGTCCCCAATACTGCCCCCCCCAATCATCTCCTAATCCTCCCTTGTGATTGGCTGGTTCCCGTGACATTATTGTGGAAAGAAAGAACAAGGACAAACACGGACAGGGCACGAACACGGACAGGGCACGAACACGGACAGGGCACGAACACGGACAGGGCACGAACACGGACAGGCACGGACACGGACAGGGCACGAACACGGACAGGGCACGAACACGGACAGGGCACGAACACGGACAGGGCACCTCACCAGGAGTCGATAAACTTTCCCAGCCTCATTAGAGTCTCTTAATTGCTTCTTAATTACCTGAGAGACACTTGCGTTAATGACGGTGGTAGATTTTGAATAATAATAATAATATTAATAAGACAGACAGACATTTATTACCAAACCTATCAGTAATAGCCACGACACCTACTGTTAAAATCAATACACCTTAAGACAAGTTTTACCAACACACTTTTTGTCTTCACTGTAAAAAGAATTACGCTATCTTATTTTTCTTACTCGGAGTTCCGGTAGAGAGAGTTTGTTGAATATTTCAGTAACGTTCATTCAGTAGGTCGCTCCCACCCACCCAGCCACCCCAGCCCGCCCGCTCCCACCCGACCCCAGCCAGCCACCTCAGCCCACCCAGCCACCCCACCCAGCCACCCCAGCCCACCCGCTCCCACACACACGCACACAGGCGATGTTTACACTGTGTAGTTCCCGCCTGAGTCACCAGAGGGCAGAGTATTAGCTTCCCGCCGCCGCCACACTAGCACGACTGGCTCTCAATAGAGGGCGGTGACGGTCTGTCTCAGGACCCACTACGGGCGCTACCTCTGTGTGTGTGTGTGTGTTTTAATGATGCTAGTGGTATTAAGAAGAGTAATGACTAAATTAGGATGATAGTTAATGATAGTTAATGATACAAATGAGACTAATGATGATGATGATGATGAATACGATGATTAAAAACAACATAATAATAATGGGTGGGGGGGACAGGTGTGTTGACGGACCTTCTTCACCTGTCTCATTAAGGTGTTGTGTCACGAACATCATTAGAAGGACGACTGTACATAGAGCCCCCTCCTCTCTCTCGCCCCTAACCTAACCAAACATTTCTTCCTCCTCCTCCTCCTCCCCCTCTTCCTCTTCATCCTCTTTTATCTATCAATTCGTTTCCACTCGATTTCCTCCCTCCCTCCCTCCCTCCCTCCCTCCTTCCTTCCTTCCTCCCTCCTTCTCCCTTCCGTGTCCTTTTCACTGTGGCGGCTTTCTTTTCCCCTCCTCTTGGCTCCCTTTCTTTCTTTCTTTAGTTGAATAATCACATTCAAAGGAGGAGGTGAGACGGGTAAGGGAGGGTGAGGGGGTAAGGGGAGGTGAGGGGGGGTAAGGGGAGGTGAGGGGGGTAAGGGAGGGTTGGGGGAAGTGGTTGGTCGTGTGATATTAGTCTTTTGTCGTTACCTCTCACCCTTACCACCACCACTACCACCCCTACCACCACCCCTACCACCACCACTACCACCCCTACCACCCCTACCACCACCCCTACCACCACCACTACCACCATCTGTATCTCGCTTCCCAGAATAATTATCATTGGACTTAAAATATTACTTTATATTTTTAAGTAACGAGAAACATTTGTGTTGCTGTGTGTTACTTGTTCCAGAGTTCCGCATTGCTGTTAAATGCTGTGGTGGTAATATTATGGTGGTTAGGGCTGTGTTTGTTGCTGTTAAATGCTGTGATGGTGGTTAAAGGATCACCCATGGGTGGCTTCCAATGCTCTTTTGTAAACCCTTAAAGAGTCTTGATGTTCTTTTGTTATTCATAAGGGAAATGATTGAAGCTTTGGGGTCCCTTTGTCCCAGGTTACTCTAAGTCCAGGTCCCAGGTTCAGTTGCACAGGTCCTAAGATCAAAGAGGGTCAGAGGTCTTCCAGGTCCCCGTGTCTTCTAGCTCAGGTCCAGAGATGTCCCAGGTCCAGAAATCTCCCGGGTCTCCCCCCCCCCCCACTGGAACATAATGGGCGTCTACTGTTTTACTCAGTCTGGCGCCTCAACCACCCTCATACTAGTAGGTGGACCGTCCCTCATGCTAGTAGGTGGACCGTCCCTCATACTAGCAGGAGGTGGACCGTCCCTCACACTAGCAGGAGGTGGACCGTCCCTCATGCTAGTAGGTGGACCGCCCCTCACACTAGCAGGAGGACCGTCCCTCACACTAGCAGGAGGTGGACCGCCCCTCACACTAGCAGGAGGTGGACTGTCCTCACCAGTAGGTGGACCGTCCCTCACACTAGCAGGAGGTGGACCGTCCCTCACATCAGCAGGAGAGGTGGACCGTCCCTCACACTAGCAGGAGGTGGACCGTCCTCACACCAGCAGGAGGTGGACTGTCCCTCACACTAGCAGGAGGCACTGTCCCTCACACTAGCAGGAGGCACCGTCTCCTCACACCAGCAGGAGGTGGACCGTTCTCACACTCAGCAGGAGGTGGACCGTCCCCGCCACCAGCAGAAGGTGCACCGTCCTCTCACACTAGCAGGAGGTGGACCGTCCCTCACACTAGCAGGAGGTGGACCGCCCCTCACACTAGCAGGAGGTGGACCGTCCCTCACACTAGCAGGAGGTGGACCGTCCCTCACACTAGTAAAATACAAATAGCCGTCTTGAAGTTTTTCTCCACCAAAATATACGACGTTTAGAGAAAATGACTTGGTGGTGAGGCTGTGGTTAGCTTAGCTTAGGTTTGGTTAGGTTAGCTTAGGTTTGGTTAGGTTAGCTTAGGTTAGGTTAGGTTAGGTTAGGTTAGGTTAGGTTAGGTTAGGTTAGGTTAGGTTAGGTTAGGTTAGGTTAGGTTAGACTATCGTTGGAAACTTTAACTCAAATATCATCTGATTTTTTTGTCTTCCAATTTT